GACGATTTTTCTGCATTTTTTAAGCTATGAACGAAACCGATTGGTTCATTTAATACAGAGATTTGCATTTTTTAATATTTCACTTCGCTTGGGTCGCTTCATATATATATATTGGCGCGTAACGTTACCGACGTTTATATTTATGTTGAAGTTTTTTACAGCCTACGTTGACAATTATGCGAACTGAAGCGTTCCATATGTCATTTCGGTAAAGTAATGATGAAGAGATCGATGTAAAACTGTCGAATTCCCGGGAATTCATTATTCTAACGGCAATAGGCAAACGTCAAAGGGAGAATGTAATAAATTCTCATATATATGTATGTGTATGTATATGAGAAATCAAATCGTTGGGGAAAGTATTCTCCGAATTGGGTGTACCCGATTCGTTTCAAATTTTGCCACGTGAGTATGGAAGCCTCAAAGTGAGTTCTGAAACTCACGAAATTTCACTTTTTATCAATACATTTCATAAATTATTTATTCATCATGGACTAGAACCAACATGGCGTGGTCCGTGCACCTTTCCGATGTTTTACGATTTTTGGAGGCTTAAAATCGAAAAGGAAGAGTTTCAGGACCTATATGAGCCACTACCCTTCAAACACACTATGTTACAATTACATAACACTGGAGTAACGTGATATATAGCGAATATATACGGGCTATCGTGTAGAAGTGAGAACTTCTGATATATATATATGCCATGACCGCCATAGTACAAACGCTATCTAACAGTTATATTATTGTTACGTAACCGTGTTTGATGGGTATATGTATATGACTTTGCAATATATGCATTTGGCACGAATTTTTTTTACATCGATGGTGTTTTTGTAGTGATTTCACATCTTTTTGCAATATGTTATACAATTTAATTACCCAAGTCTTTTGTTTTCATTTATTAGTTGAGGACATTTTCGCTAAAAATTGACTCGATCTTGGAAATTTTGAATTCATAAGAATGACTGAGGTATTTGGAACACTTACCTGTCAATTGATCGAGCATTATATTTTCTTACAGTTAGTTATACACTAATTGTATACATTTATTTCATTATTTGATCAAAGTTGTAGTTTTTCCCTATTTTAGTAATAGCTGGAAAAGATAGAATTGTACCGGAAAGTTAAGGGTGGAAAAATGTCGGTCGATGTTTACGTCCGTCGAGGCATAATTTGCTTGCAGCACACTAATAGCACTAAACCGAAGCAAGTGTGGTATAAGTGGATAATTGTGTTCTTTTCTTAGTTATGTGGGTATTATTATATCATTACGAGTAAGTGTTCGGTTGCTTCTGGCTACGGTCATAAGATGGCGTAATTACTTGTACCGATGTTTTAATGTCCACACATTATCAAGAAAAAAAAAAAGAAAAAGAAAGGAAGAATTGGAACTCGAATTTACAGAAATTCTTGTAGTAAAGGCTAGCAAAATCTCGGCTTAAAGAAATTGTTTACGTAACAGTTGTTGTTTTTTTACGAGATATTATCGAATATTAGAAACATTTATTAATGATTTATCTTCCTCGAGGAAACGTTGCCGGTACTCAATTATACAAATGAGTTGCAAATATCAGCAATTTTCTTTCATTCCGTCAGCTTTAAGATTTACATTCTTTCTTATAGAAATCTAAATATATAATTTACTTGTGTAATTTGCAAGGTAATTTCTTTACCTGTTCCTTTTCTATTATCGGCCAAATAATATATTTGTAGATAGTTCTTTTCAACATAATTATCAGATAACGGGCTACCATTGAGATAAGTAAAATCCTTCCATTTTCTGTCAACAAGACGCATATCGTAACAGAAGTTAATTACAATATCCTCTTCATCCAATAGGAATTAATAAGTTCAAGTTTGATACTCACGGTCCTTCGTAACAACAAATACCTACTGCAAGCACGTAAACATTTATTTCCCGTACTAATTCGAACAGCGCTGTGTATATAATCCGTTCCCCCAAAAAACGACGCATCTACTAACCACAGTTTGTTTGAACACATCAAGTATCCAAGGGTGCGGAGAACGAAACAGTTGCGGTTTCTAGCGAGAAGATGACTCTGTTATTCTTGGACGAAGACGAATTTACAGTTCCGCGCCCCCCTGAGTTTTACCGAGCTTTATCACGTTTCCTTCGTCTCTGGCAAACAGAAGGAATCCTTAAATCTCGAAAGGACATCTTCCTGGATTTACGACCAGAGGCAATCGTGTTTCAACAATCCTCCCGGTGCGCCTCGAAGTGCAAGGTCGCGGGTTCAAATCCCAATGAGCCTTGTCTTTTTTTTTCTTTCTTTCTCCCTACAGATTCTTTGATTTGTGAACGCGGTGCCTTTATGCGCACTCTGACGGGACGCTCTCGCGGCGGATCGTAAATTATGTCAACAGCTTCCCGCGAATTTCGTGCGTCCTGTCGCTCGCTCTCTTCTATCGGGTCGGCGCGGGGGCGGACGGGTGGGATGTTTTGACGAAAAACGTTAAAAGTCGCCCCCGCCGAAGATCCTTGTTGAGGCCCTCTCGCACCGCGGGGTCGGGTCTCGTGAACGATATGCCTGAAATTAGCCGATTAATAATCCCGCGCCTTCTTTCCAGAAGCCGCCATTAGTGTCGCCTCGAGCGGGGATCATTTATGAGCCCTCGAGGGTCGTTTATCGCTACCATTAAGTCAGCTGCCATGCCCACTGTTTCAATTATTTATCGTGTATATATTTCTCCGCGGCATCCTTGGCGCGATGCGAGCCCACCGTCGAATTCGCCACCGAGACCGTTCTCCGGCAATTGAACCGCGCGTGTTGCGAACCTTCCCGGCTAACGGGCTCTCTTACTCGCTCGGACCTGGTATCCCGCCGCCGAGGCATCGCTTAATTATCTATATTTCGCCGTCTAGGGAGAGATCGATCGGTTCGTCTTGCCCGCGCGGAGGCGAGTTCCCTATTAGTCGGGAAGAGGGAACCATTACCCCAAGCTCTCGCCTGATGATACCATTAATAAATGAGGGACCTTTTGCCTCGCTTCGCGCGAATTACGCAAGGATTCGCGTCGGGATGATTTCTCGGTAATCCAACGCGACAACGGCGACTTTGGGGTCAAAAGACTTTTGCCGAATACTTTTCCCTTTACGTGGTTAGGTCATTTTGTCAGAAATGACTTTGCTCGCGAGAAAATTAGGGGAGTCATCTGTTGTCAATGGAAGAGTAAACTGTGCTATTAAATGTTTACATGAAAGAGGGTAAAATTGTATATAATATCGACTGAGTTCGTTACAAAAATATTTCGTCGATCTATACATTTTCATTGCAACTATTACCTCGTAAGTGTTGTTAAATTCTTACACCGAGAGGAAAATCTAGTTTAATTAACTACTTTTTAACTAGTTTTCATCGTTCAAAAAGGACTCGGATACTTTTTGTAGTAAAATTATATTTTTTTTTTTTCGGACCTAGGAAATCCAGTAACGTTTGTACAAAATTTGTACAATACTTTACTCGTAAAATTTGTTCACTCGTCATCGTTAAATTTGTCACTCGTAAAATTTGTACAAAAACCTTTTTGTAACCTACTGAATATCAAAGTTATGCGACAATATTTAAACGATCACGAGAAATAGAAGTTAGTTGTTCGTTCGCGGATATACGCTTTCATCTAAAAAGATCTACGTCCTATTCAGTAATAAGCATTTGTTAGCCTAGGTATGTACTTGAATGATATATAATGGTTTGAGCATGTGGCAAAGTAACGAGATCCCAAGGAAAAATGGGGAAACGGGAAACGTGAGTTTTTATTTCCGAATCACTTAGAATTTCCTGATGGTTCGTAAAAGGTCGTTTCCTACTTCCGAGAAACATCGGCAACGTTCCAGTGCTGTAATGGATGTAATTCGTCGTTGTTGCACTATAGTATATAGTTTACAGCCGCATTAGTATTGGATGTCAGACATAGTCATCTGTACTTCGACGATGAGTGGTACTTCACGGTAAAAAATGTATTACGTGGGAAGCAGCAGAGAAGTGTGCAAATCATTTCAATGTCTGTCCTTTAAATGCATCAGTGAAGAGATCTCATTATACGACACGCTCTTCAAATAACGGGATAAAATTTAATTATCGGAAACTTAGTCTGGGTTCTAATCCATTTACATGAAAACTAAGCTCAATTCTGGGCTCATCTTCATGATTCTGCTAAGTGAATGGCCAATTGAATACAACGTTCTGAACAATATCATAAATTTAAACTAGCATCACGAAACTTGATATGCAGTTGTCAAATAAGTACTGATATCAAATGCACTTTAAATATTTCTCGAATCGTATTAATTGCGGTTAAAACTCTACGAGTCAATTTCAATGATAAAGTAGGAGGAGGACAACAATTAGTACTTTCGGAGACCTTAAATCAAATAATTGTTTGATTAAAGTATTGTATATTTTGATTTCAAATTCATCGTCTGTATGTCTATATGCCCGTATTTGCAATAACATCGACTCGTGGGAACCTCTAGCTGACCACACTTATCCAATAATAAAAAAAGCTACAAGGCTAAAATCAGAGACACTCTCCGAGATAGATCTGGGATCTGGATCTGAGATCGTATCTCCGTGATCCTCGTGCTTCTTTCTTCCATCTTTTTCTCGATTTTCTTATTCTAATCCTAGCAACAGCGGTTTCGCTCTATCACCATGAAGGCACTAAGGACAGCTATCGTTATACAACGTATAGAGGAAACGGTCGACTTTAACGCTCGGCACTTTTTACATACTCTTTTTCCCTCTTACATCAAGCTATTGCCCACACCGTGTCTCGTGACACTTCTACACCTTTTTTTTCTTTTATCTGCAAGTTACGAGGAAATCTCTCAATGCTCGAGTCCTTGCTCTTCGGCATAGGTTCCGAAAGCATCGCGTAACGTTCCTGCGTATTTTTCGCGAGGAAATCGGTCTCCCCTGGATAGGAAATGTCGATTATTGTTGCGTTTTAATCAATTATTGTTAATTTTATTTCAGAGCGGGAAGCCAGCGGTTCCGGTGCGGCGAGGACGCAACCGCCCCCTGAACCCGCCGACGTCGAAGACGAACCGGAAACTGACGATACCGGAAGTTCCAGCGGCAAGATTTTTATCCAGGAACGTTGCAATTGCGAAGAACTCAGGAACGTTGTGTGTCATCTGGAGACCAAGGACCTTTGGGACAAGTTCCACGACTTGGGCACGGAGATGATCATCACTAAAACCGGAAGGTAAGAGACATGTAACGGATTGGCTCGTTCGAGTGCTTTATTCTTGTATTTAATATTTTGGCAATTTGATCTCGGAAAGACGTAGGGCGTAGTTAAACGATGCTTGAGGAAGATCGATAAGATCATTGATACCGAATAATGTTAGGATATCGTATTTCTAAAAGGAAAAAGAACAAATGATTCCAGCAATCGATGCTACAGAAGAAAAATAAAACAACAAGAAAAAAGAAGGTTTTATGTTTAATGTCGAGTTTCTTTTTTTAATTATGCATCGTTTTTATCTAGGAGCTTGCTCGCATTCGATGAAGTAAAATATAAGACGTTTGTGCGAATGCACGTCGTCTATGTTAACGGACCTTCCTCTCACTACACTTGCACGTCACAGGGTATGTAGGACAATATAGATAAATTTACCACGTCACAGGGTAAATAGGAAAGGTTAGGGGAGTTATTTATAATCGGTATTTAAATCACGCGGCACGCAAAATATGTCGCATCTTTTCGTTCCCTTCTTTCTCTCGAATTCTGGAAATGCAAATTCCGATTCTGGATGGCATTCTAAGAAGGCTAAATATTCGATTTAAATTTCCCCGAATATCACATTACCAGCGATAGAGTTACACGTCCGTAATTTTATCTGACATCGACGTATCGCCTTCCCTAGCCGCATAATTATATTACTTTAATTATATTAATACCACCCAGGTGGGCGATTTGCCCGATGAAATATTCGCCGAGGACGCGCGACATCGCGAGTTGTCAATCGCTGGGACAGCAAGAATCTCCAGACGAGCAATTTACCGCACGACACGTCGACTATTCGATTACTCATGTACGAAGGTCGAAATATCTCGAAAGGCGAGTCTGGCCGATATCGTCCTGGATTTCGGGAATAATTTATTACCTCGTCGCGTCTTAAATTACCAGACTCCCGAAACGCCGGGTGAAGGCACTCCTGGAAACAAAAGCATAGTACCCGTTTCTCTATACGTCGACATTTCGATCAGTTTCGCCGAAACGTTTATGCCGAATTGCCCCGTTGGACGAGTTTCTTTATGTACAAGGACATTGAAATCCTAACGGAGACTCCGTCGCCTAAGTTAAAGATAAGTCTATGTTGGCGGAGTCAATTTGTACATATGATGGACACTGCGACACGAGCCGGTCAAATCGAAATGCAATGATAAGTTGTTCGCCAAATGCGGCATAACTTGAGCAATGTACCCTCGTTTCCGTGGAATACATACACAACAAATGGGGAATTTGCATTTATCATATAATTTTTCAGTTTCATGTAAATTTGCAAAAATGTGACGGATTTGTAAAGGGGAAAAAGATTTAACCATTTCTTGCGGTGGGTTCCGTTTAGTTGTTTTTTTTTATGCAGTACCTCTCTCTTTCGCTCAGTTTATTGCTGGAAATTGAAGTTCATACTCTAGATCTAAGAATACAAATCGAGTCACGTCACGTAATCCTTACTTCAATAGGTGTAGATATTGTATCTATAATTTATGTCGGACGAGTAAGGAAACGTCTTGGTCCGGGTCTTCGTCGACGAGTGCTCTACCAATTTGTCTCTTCTTTTTTCTTTTCACGGTAAAAGTTAATCAGCATTGGAACACCGGAGAGACGAAATGTTCAAGGGTTAATGGATGCCTCGGTGTTAGGCTAGGATTTAATTTCAATAAAACGATTCGGTCCCTCGACTCCTGGAACGCTACATCAATGTCCAAGCGTGTCGACGTCGCTCGAGTTGGCCTCATTATCCTTACCCCTTTCCCCTCTGTCCTACTCGCCCTGATGGAAGGATTTACGCTCCTTGCGTTTAAACAAATTCGATGAGCACACCCTCATCTCGTGACGAGGCACGATTAATCGCGGCGCACTTTAAGTGCGCAAGTAAACGGAACCGGGCAATTGCTCGGTCTCGGCTCTCTTAAAACGATTAACCCTTCAAGTCCCAAGTGCGAACAATTTCACAAGTGTGCATTATCGAATTGCTAAAATAGACAAATTTTCATTACTACCCTTAATTAATCGGTAACACATCACGAAGAAATGTTTTCAAAATCGTTTCTAACATTTCATGTAATTTAGACTACAGGTGTGCTCGTGATTATGGAAGTGGTCTGCCATTTTTTATGTTAAAGACTGTCATTATTGTAATTTAAGTGTATATAACATTAAATATGGGATGAATTCTATTTTAAAAATTTGTTTACTTTGACCACTTTCATAATTACGGTTCGACTATGTGAATTGCTCGGGGTGTAAATTGACCCTTGAATACAAAAACACCCATATATTTGTTTCCCTACATTTTGCAACGGGTATTTAAGGTGATATGAAAGAGCCATTCTATATATATACATCAAAACGTGAAAATATTTATAAAACTTTTCTCCAAACTGGGTGCACCGAATTATCTGAAACTTTAACCCTTGATTATGAGGCCCTAGGAAAGAACACGATGTTTGTGAAATTTCATTTTTTGAGAAAAAAAATTGCCTGTTTTTGGTTCTTGTCCAAGATAAGTATAAATTTCTTTTCGAAAGATGCAATTTCACGAGCATTGCGTTCTTCCTTAGGGCCTCCATAATGTTGTGAGGAAGTTTCGACTGATTCGGTGCACCCAGTTTGGAGAAAAGTTTTATAAATACTTTGACTTTTTGTTCCGTATACATCACATTTCCATATCACCTTAAGGCCTACAATTAGAGGGTCTAAGTAGAATCAACATTTCGACTCTGGTAATCAGCGTATCTATCGGTGTGTTTATTATTGAGCTCCGTCGTCCCACTCTCCCTCGCGCAGGTAGTTTTGAGGGTCTCATCAAAATACGCACCCTCTACGAGGGGGCAGCTTTAATTACAATTACTCCGGCGAAAACGATACTCTTCGTGTAACCGCTTGAGGGTCCGTCAATCCCGACCTCTAATGAAATTTGCAAAACGGGAGTTCGCGTCGCTGGCGAAATGGGAGCGATGCCGACGCCGACGCCGACCGGCCGCCCTCCACGGACGGGCCCCTGGGACCAGAAGCGCGAACGAAGGGAAAGGCGTAGAAGGGCGCGAGAGGCGACTCGGCCGACGCGCGCCTAATTGCCCGCCGCGACGCCTCCGACAGTGGGCGCCCGTGCTCCGGTGGGCGTCCTCTGGGGGTCCCCTCGGGTGGGCGCGCGCTTACTCGCGCGTCAGTAATTAGACCCGCGTCGCGGCGCTGGTCGTCGCCCCTTTCCTTGTCCCTCGATCCCTGGCTTGGATCGCCGCGCTCAGTCGGAGTCGTGAAAATACCCCAAGCCTTGCCCAACTTTTTCTTCGGATAATTTCACGTCCGATGCGCTGAGTCGCGTCCCGGTTTCATGGAGTCGTAGTCGTTCTTAACCCTTTCATTACGGCAGTCCGCTCCGCCAGACAACCACCACTGAACGCGACATCGCGCAGAAAGTGGGCACATTGCTCGTCGGCAGTCTTCGATGCTCGAACTTATGTCTTCCACCTGAACAACGCCTCCTTCGCATCCTTTTGTATGTACACTTTTCTTAGCGTTAAATAACTATTGTTTGGTCGTACTAGTCCATTATTAAATTTCCAAGTAAAGGTATAAGCTTAAACTTTTCAGAAATTAAAAGCTATACCGATAGTTGGTCTTCTCGTCTCGTCTCGATGGTCGAAACGTGTTACGCATTTACGAAATTTTAACTCTACATGGAATCGAAGTAATTCAGGACCTCTTCTGATCGTATTTCATTCTTCAAGTCCTACTTTTGACCTGGTATGTCCTGCTTAATCTGAACTAATAAGTTCTCGTTCAGACCTACAAGTCGTAGAAATTCCGACACTTTTAACTCTTATCACTCCAACCGGCAGTAATGTTGCCAACTTCTAATACACTTCTAATACTCTTATAATATTCTTGGAGTGATGAGGGTTAAGCTCCAATGCAGGACCTCAATTGTATAGAAGTTATTCTTCTCTATATTATTTTGATACTCATGTATGAAAAGCCTACACTCGTTTACGGTTTAAATGTGATAAATATTTCGCCTCGCGTTCCTATCCACTAATTTTTATCTTCTAAGTGAAACGTTACGACTTTGATTTTATTACGTTGGATTTAAGAGAATTAATTTTTCAAGTAGATCTGAAATAAACGAATGTTTAGAAAAGTTGCGACGTTCCCAATTACTTACATTTAATTTATGAAAATAAACGATACGATCTATGATGATAGGAATACATTGCTTTCAAACAGTGGAATCTTTATAATAGACGAACCAGAGGAAGGACCAGGATGAAACGGGTAAAAACTCGTCCTATCTCGCTTGTCGCGCCGAGGTCGTGAAAAAAATGGCCAAGGGAGTGTCGCGGCAAGAACCGCGGGGCGCCATCCTTTCGAGGCTCAAAGAGAAGGTAGCTACTCACTCAAGGGGCGCGCGAAGTGGCCGCCATCGATTCGTTAGCAAAAGAAAGAACTCGGCGAGTGGGTCGTAAACGCCGCGGATTTGAATGGAAGCACGAAACGGCGGACATTCTGTGGAGGACGGAGTGGTCCAGGAGATCGGCGAGACCAAACCTCGGGCCGTCTCGCTCCCACGAAGAAGAATGACCAGTGGCGAGGGAAGGCTAACTTAAATATAACCGCTCGTTTCGTTGCAATCCGTTTTAATGAAATTCTCACATGCCGACCAATGGTCGGATAACGAAACAAATGGGAGAACGGAGATTCAATTAGACGCTTTCGCATCTATTTAGAGCTGACGGAATGCGCATCGATGACTAAAAAAGAGGTCTACAAGGGAAGAAGGAGATCCTTGCAAGAAACGTAGATTGGGGTTGGTTGGTTTGTTGGTTTAGCGCTTATTTTGGCCTGCAGTAGGTTTCGGACACCTTAGCCATCATCGAGACATTATCTTTCTAGTAGTAGTATATAGTAGGCTGAATTTGCAGTTGTTCGTTTTACGTTTTATTGTCAACGCACTCTGTCTTCTCAGGCAGTCGATCATACAATGCCCGATTCCCCCAACCTCAGCTAAAAAGCTAATCCTTGGTTACAAAGAGTTGTTCGTTCTCCTACATTTTAACGACGGGTTAATTGCCATTAACCCCCGTTCAGATAACCAGCCAAATTAGATCGTTTAGCTTCGGTTAATCGAACTTCAACCTAAAAACTGTAAAAACCCGAGGAAAGCATGGGTTATATTGAGGATGTGTTAATACCTTCTCATGATGAAACGGATAAAGACGTTTTTTACTTTATTTACAATTTCTTAATGATCCAAGTACGCTTGAAAATATTTTATATTTATTCTTAACCAAAGAACGTAACTTCTTGAGGCTAACGTCTGTCAAATAAGCTCTTGCACGAAGCTAGAGGGACTTCGTGTCTCGACAAGGGCGCATCCATCTTGCTGTCTAGTCGATTGGAATATCGGGCAATCATGCGAACGCGTTCATCGACAATTCAACATACTTCGAATAGGGTATACGATTAATCACTCTCTAAATAAATGTGAGGGGCCATTTACGTTTATAACCCATGATTAATTTAGACGTTAACTTAAACCTACTGTTAGGTAATCAATGATTTAATAGAGGTTGGTGGAACCGGGCATTAACCGCGGCCGACGTTGCTCAACTTCGGCGATCGAGCGAGAACCGGTGCTTTGTTTGTTGTTTGTTTCGGTTTCAGCCCTTTTTACTAAGGGCCAAGTACAATGGTTTTTTCGGCAACGCTACGCGCGACGCCCCTCCCTGATGGTCACCCCCATCCAAGGAAGGACCGCACCCGACGTCGTTTAACTTCGGTGATCTTATGAGAATCGAGGTATCGACATGGCTTGAGCGTTGAAATCGGTGTTATTAACGCGGGGTAAGTGTCGACTAACGTAGGTTGGGGTCAGAAGTGGAGCCATCGACGTGGACGGTAGCGTCCGGGCGCACCACCCCTTTCAGGGCCCAAGAAGGGGGCACGGGAAGGGCCCAACTCGTTAACAAAGACCGGCAGCGAGGAGGAGCGGGTCCCGGAGGTCGCGGCCACGGACTGGCGGACATTCCGCAAGAGTGGGAGTGGAGAAGGGACGAAAACCCGTCCCATCTCGGACCCGCGGAGGTCGCGAGAGAAATGGGCCGGTGTTAGCAGTGGAGGGCCTCGACGTCGACGGCAGTCACCGCGGCGCGCCACCCCTTTCGGGGCCCCCGAGGGTGCGAGAGGGGGCCGCGTTCAATTCATTAACAAAGGACGGCTTGATAAATAAAAGCATTACTCACATTCGTGGGCTCGGGCGGGATGAATGCATACCGAGTCGACAAGGACCGAGGAGAAGACGGAGATAAGATCGGCGGGTGTCCCCGCGTTTTAGTGGTCGAGCAGCGGGGGGCCCGACACGGTATTAATGTTTGCCTCCGAGGCAAAACATTCACGCGCCAGCCCCGTGGGCTCGCGGACCCGAGTGTGCGAGCCCGGGTTTGTGTCAGGGCGCGGGTATTCGTTGATCCGTGACCTCGTATCACCGAATACCCCCGCAAGGGCCGTGAACTCGCGTGTCTCCATTTTGGTACAATGTTCTTTGCCCTTGTTTCATAAGAGCGAGCGAACTGCGAGCATGTTTTAAATTCTTGATTTTTCGTTAATTACTGATGAGGCCCGGAAAAGCTGGCGATGAAAAAGTGGTACCAACAGGTATTGGTGCGGTACCGTCACGTAGCGCGACGCGCGACGCATCCGTGAAGAGAAAAATGGCCGTCGATACGTGCATTCGGCCAGGGTGTTCTAAGCCATCAGTGGTTCGCTCTTTATCGCTCCCTTTGGTGTCGAGTCTTTCCCTGTATATGTTACGCTTGTACGTGAATTCTGAGACCGGTGTCGCTTTTGCGATGTCTCCCCGGGGATTAAGGTTGATCGAGGGAGTAACACCAGGAGCTGGCGTCTGGAGTTGGCTTTAGATAGATGCACGATTCGTTGGTATTTGTGCCAAGTGGCAAACTACCTTTTCATTCGATGTAGAAAGATTTAATGTGGAAACTCAGCATAGCGTGACCTCGCTCTGCAGTAAATCAGGGTGTTATCGTTAATTGGTTCATTATTAATGAGAGGTGGATTTATGACTGCAAATGGCTTCGTTTAACACCTTGAGGGTCGAGGGCATTTTCTTAAGGCCGGGGCGAAATCTTCAGAACTCGAACGATGTAAAGGTTATACCTACATTATGTAACATGATACGACGCGTTTTCTTATTTATTCTCTTATGAGAAAGATCAGCGAAAGTTCTAACTGTGTCGGGGAAAAATTGAGTTCCAACCACTGACCTCCGTGGTATTCTACGCGTTAAGAAATATAAAACGATGGCTCATATCATATATACAAAAATACATTGATCATAAATGTATTCCTAGAAACGTGCAGGGTAATCTCGAACGATTAATTGAACGTTATGAAAGTAGCAGGGAATCGGTCATTTTAGTATCTATAAGATACGAGATATATTATAAATAAAGGTCGTTCATTTTGAACGTTGAAATCTACAAATTTCGTGATAGTCCACGGGTGGAGGTATTATCATGGCGCAATCGGGTAATTTTTCTTTAAGGATTTCGTCGACGTGTGAGCCCAATCTTTTTCAAACGATGATTCTGACGAGTTCAAACGTTGATTAAGTACGGTATGTACCGTTATGTACAGGTACGACTGTACATATTACCGCAAACATTACGACCCGATAACGCGTCCACGTGGTGCATCGCCGCGTCACGTCACGATGTATCGCGAGTCGAGAATTGCTAATTCGGTTACCAGCTGTAATTACAAATTACTGTTCTTAATGTTCCATGATAATTACGCGATAGGGCGATTGGGATCCCGCGCTATCGCGTCAAATGTAAACATTTAATATCTTTTAGGCGAAATCGCGGTCACTCGTGCACGCGTCTCGCCAGCGACTCGCGACCGGCCACCCACGGATGGCTTTTGCGTACACATTATCACGCGAATGATCGGATAATCATCGAGGACGACGTGTTTACTAAAAGATCGGGATATGGGTTCCCTATCGAATGATCGTTTTATTTCAATTACAGCCCTGTTCACATTTACATCCGGTGGTACGTCGCGATTAATGGAGCCGATTACGCAGAATGCTGTTCTGAAAGTCGTGATTCGGCCTATAAATTTAGAAAGTTTTCATTTGCGAAGTTTGACCCATGGAATGCATTCCTGCAAATAACTAAGTGGTTAGCTTACAACTAACAATAAGTTACTCCGTTAAATCTTGTTACCACCGTCCTAAGATTACGTACATGAAAAATATACTTGTTATGTAAAAACGATATCGGTAATTTTGTTACCACCGCCCCAAGATTACGTACATGAAAAATACACCTGTTAGGTAAAACCGATATCGGTACGTTACGTCAGTACGTCTGGTGTTGACTTATAGAAAGAAAGGAAATACGAAGCTCACACGGGGAAGAGGAATATGCTCGACTAATCCTTTACACGGGCTGAAATTCCTTCCAATGAATTTCCAGTTCTTGAAAAATCCAGAAAAGATATTTTTAGCACGAAATGTAAAAAGTAAATAGGGGGTGTTCACCTAACGCACCGATACCCAAAAGACAATCTAGCTTTGTGAGGACACAGGTTCAAAATTATCCCACATCTTAAATTGGTTGCATGACAAATATTGGCTCATCGTTTTTTTCAATGCCAATGGTAAGGACCTTTCAACCGATGTTAAGTAAAGGGTCTATTTGTTGTCCCGCAGACGGATGTTCCCGACATGTCGCGTTTCGTTCAGCAACCTGAAGTCCGGAGGGCGTTACTCGGTGCTGATGGACATCGTGCCAGTGGACGACAAGCGGTACCGATACACCTATCACAGGAGCTGCTGGTCGGTCGCTGGGAAAGCCGACCCCCCGGCACCGGCTCGTCTCTACGTTCATCCCGACTCGCCCTTCACCAGCGAGCAGCTCCTCAAGCAAGTCGTCTCCTTCGAGAAAGTCAAGCTGACCAACAACGACATGGACAGGCATGGACACGTGAGTTCCCTTCGTCATGCTTTGCGCTTACGTTCGCGTTCGTTACTCGCGCAATGAGAGGACCGACCGCAGCCAGAAACTGTCACGATCGTTTGTTTCGCAATTAGGAATGTATCGACCACTCATAGATGGTTCACAGTGCACCCAGACCATTGCTTCATATGATATGATAGAGTCAGTCTATATATGTCTGAGAAGTCAAATGGTTGGTGAAAATATTCTTCGAATTAGGCGTACCGATTCGTTTCAAGTTCTACCACGCGAATATGGAGGCCCTAAAGTAGGTCTTGAGACTCGAGAAATTTCATTTTTCATTAAAAATTTATTTATTTATCATGGACCAGAATCAATTTCGCGTGGTCCGTGCACGTTTTCGATGTTTTACGCTTCTTGGAGGCTTAGCATCGGAAATGAAGTTTCAGGACCTAGCTCGAACAATTTAGAATACCGTAGAAATGGAAGAGTATAGAGTGAGACGGGAAAATATGGAAAATACTTTCACCAACGATGGCAAGAGAATGCTGGCTTGTCTCGAGGCTAACACGTATTTCTAGAGGAAAAATTTAGTTGCAGCTAAACGTCACAGATGGCGAGGTTGGTCCTAAACAGTCGTTAGAATAATGAATTCACGGGATTTCGACAGTTTTACGTCGGTCTCTTCATCTTTAATTTACCGAAATGACATATGGAATGCTCAGTTCGTATAATTCTTAATGTAGACTGTAAAAGACTTCAACGTAAATATAAATGTCGGTAACGGGACGCGCCAGCTTATATTCTTGTACTCTTGAGTATTCAAAATGACGTTATCACCAAAAAGGGTATGGATGAATTTTATTTTATCGACGTCAATTAAATATCTCATCGCTTTTCATATCACCTTAAGCCATCCATCGTTTGATCGAGTCGCGAACAATTGCACTTAAAAAATTATCAGTTTTATTGTCTTCGATAGGTTTATACGCTAGTTTTTTTTCTGCAATCCGTTCTCTATGCTTCCTTATATCTCCATGGAACTTTCGCGTATAAGTTGCTGGTTGTAAATTGGTTTCGTCGATTAAAACGCCATTATTCCGACGTCGATAATAAAGGAAGGCTTGTCGCAACTGTTGTCTTCCGGATAAGTATAAATGGGTACACGTCATCATTTTGTAACATGGATTTATCTCCAGGTCGATATTATCGCGAGGTATGATTTCAAATTGCATCTTAATACCCAAACGCCTTCTTTTTGCGTAGCTCTGAAAGTTAGTCGTTAACCGCGATCCGCGGATTAGTTACTTCAAGCATATCAACAGCTTCCCAGCATGTATTCGGAAATGTCAGCAGGTGTAGCTAGGTTGGCTATAAAAGTAGTGGTAACATAATTTTCTCTCGGATTCTGTTGAAATCAACGACGGGAAGCTTGAAAGTAGCACCTGCGGTAATGCAGGGAAATGCGAGCTGGGAACTGATACACCGATATAACTCTTGGTAACCGATATAGCTCTTAGGTTGTTGTCTCGAACGAGCAGTTTCGCGACAGCCGCGATACCAAGTTCGCCGTTCTCCAATAATCCGTCCAAAGGTCGGATTCGGCGTCGCGGCGGAGGCGGAAACCCGATTAAAGTATCGCGCGGCTAATGAAACCGTTCACCTATTCGCTAATATCTCGAGCGAGGCTGCCAAAGCCTGCAACGCTTTGGCGTGGACTATCGATTCGAAATACGGAGCTCCTCGATTAAATCTTCATGGCAATTAGCGGCAGCGATAGACCGGTTCCTATTCAAATGAGTTATGCATTAGCGGGGCGCGAGGCTTCGCACAGGCCAGATCTCCCAGCGACGTATTCTTGTCTACCTACTTGTTCCGATTTATTAAGCCCCTTCGCTAATTGGCTTCGCCGAACTCTATCTGGTGCACGAGTTATCGGGCCGATTCTCGCACCCGTTACCCTCGCGTCCCGTACCTGTTTCCTGGCGACGTCGCCAGAGGGTTCCCTTTCTCGAAACCGACGATAAAGCATATCCAAGGCTCGCGCCAAACGGGGCTAATTTTATGAAACAAACCGATACGCGATTCCGTTTCTTGGCATTGTTACTTTTTTTCCTTTTCTGCTGCGGGATAATCTTATCTCTTGAAAGTGGTCCCAAGGGACCTTGTGGATTCAGGAAAGGTGGAAACTCCGAGTCGAAATTGTGATCCTACTTGGAATCTCTGATTATAGGCTTTGAGCTGATATGAAAGGGTCATTCTATATATTAAAATATTGATAACATTTTTCTCTAAATTGGGTGCACCGACTCATTTGAAACTTTAACACGTGATTATGGAGGTCCTAAGGAAGAACGCGATGCTCGTGACATTTCATTTTTCAAACAAAGGTTTTTTTATTTAGTCTTAACTAGAACCAAAATCACACTTTTTGTGAATAATAATATTTCACGAGCATCGCGCTCTTCCTTAGGGTCTCCATAATCACGTGTTAAAGTTTCAAATTATTCGGTGCACCCAGTGTGAAGAAAAGTTTTATAAATATATTGACGTTTTATATATATAGAATGACCCTTTCATATCATCTTAAATAGGTTTTGAGATAATGTAAGGAAGGGTAGCTTGTAGAACTTCTACAGAATTGAGATCCTGCTTAGACCTTAAAAGTGCGATATATTTCTAAAAGATTTTTCTAAATACCTATGTTGCCGGCATTCGTTTTTATATTGACAGCTGTGTCGAATCATATTGGATATTGTCCTAATTGGCATACAACACGTGCCGTTTTTGTACAATAATTATATAGAAATCGAAGTAAAATTGCAAAAATCCTCTGAATTCATGGTTTCTGAGGCCTTAATTGACTGCAGAAGGACCCTTGCACCATCTGTGATTTTCGTGTGAACTAAATGTTCACTCCGAGACCTGGTATTACCATCGTTTTAGCAAAGCAGCGCATAAGATACTTTCCTTGCCTTTATCCCATTCAAATGCGAGTTTATCGATTACCAGAGAAAAATCCAAATTTCAAAAATGTCAGGATAAGTCCTAGGTGCTCACGAGTCATGTGTCAAAGTTTCAAAGGGTTCGATCCAATGCCCTTAAAAAAAGGTGTCTCATTGTAATCGACTGTTTTGAGGGGGGTTTCACTTCGTCTTAAAGAGTCGAATGTGGGACTCAAAGAGCGCATGTAAAGGCAGAGTTAGAATTTCGATTCGGGGCGTTGCATCTTAGCTCGCAACGCGACTAATTGCCGTGACAGGCTTCCAAGCCATCGGTCATGTCGTTTCTTGGTACGTCTTTTTCGCAGGCCAACCGACGTTGCAAGTTGTCGCACAGGTCCTTCGGTAATCGACCGCTGCAGTCGATTATTCGTTTCATCCTCGAGAGGGCTACCACTTTTCGGCGGCGTTGAGTGATGCCTAATGGTTCGCGTCAGGGGGACCGGCGACTACACAACGCGGCTTGTATTTCGACAAAGGGTCCGATACACCTCGGGTGCCCACCCATCCTCCTTGACGATCTCCCTTCGGAGATCTCGTCCGTTGCCTCTTCGCCGGCTGGGCCTTAATTCATCGGCTGATTGACGCAAATAGGGACGCCGTCGCGCTTCTTCACGCCACTCACTCTAGATTTTGGAACGTTACCGGTCCTGGGACCGACCAAAGTGATTCCCTGAATGAGAGGGATACCTGGCCCCGCGGAACGATTCCTAGTTCGTTTGCTCTTTGAACGAGCCCTTCTTTATCGAAGACCATCTACGTCGCGCGATGACGTTCGGGACGAGCACCTGACCCCCTCGAGAAGTCCACGGGGGAACAAGGATTTCTTTCCGAGATGATGCTTATCGGGCCCGAAGTCTCTTCACGCTAAAACGCCCCTGTATATCTTATCTTTTTCCTACCGCAGCTGGAGAGACGTGGAACCTTTCACTTTTCCTACCTTCGATCTTGATTTCTTCTAATCGACTTGTGACACTATCGGGGATGGTAAATTGGTTAGATATGATCTAGGGACACGATTTTATTCAAATTAGCCACTACGGTTAGAATTGATATGCCTACTTGATGTTATGAAATAATTTATGCGAATAATTTTGATAACGTGCTAACTTTTCGAGCGTTCAAAAGCGACGGAAAGTGATGTTAAAATTCAATAGGAAGAAACGTTTCAAACGGTGAAATTCGATTTACAGTTCAAGTGCCCAGCTTCCTTAAAGAAACAATTGAAAATAATTAACGGTAAATCTTAAACGTGAAAAGAGAAAGAATATTTCCACGTTTTGTATTTTACCAAGGCATGAAGAATCTTGCTGTTCCTGGGGTGCTATCTGGAAAACGTATTTTCGCTAATTTGTAATAGTCATTTTTTAACCGTACTTACTCCATTCGGTAAGAGGGTCTCTGTCGGCGTGTGCATCCTAAAATCTCGCGCTTGCAACGGTAACTTCTATTTCTGTGCGCTTCTCCTCCTGGAGGATAATAAAGGAGCGTCACAGATATGGGTGGCCTCGCAAATAAATACCGCACCTCAACGCAAAGGCAGAAGGGTCTATTTATACTGCGACTTCGATTTTCACGTTTTACCATCTCGGACGACACGCGGTGCGTTAGCGTCGTCGTTAAATGGTTAAATAATCCTAGAGGAGCATCGCGGTTTACGGTTGAGAATCAGGTCCTCCCTCGTCGACTTCCAGTCGGTCATCGATGTCGAACAGTCAGTCGCGGATCGTTAAGATGAAGTGAAACTCCCCTCAAATCAGTCGATTCGAATAAGACACTTTTTTTTTTTTTTAATGGTATTGAAACGAACCATCTGAAACTTTGACACACGTCTCGTGAGCACCTCGGAATTATCCTGATACTTTTGAAATATGGATTTTTGAATACAATTTTTTAACTTAGCCCAAACCGGAACCAAAATGGCGTTTTATGCGCTGCTTTGCTAAAACGATGGTAATACCAGGTCTCGGAGTGAACATTTAGTTCACATGAAAATCACAGATGGTACAGGGGTCCCTCTGCAGTCAATTAGGGACTCTGAAACTATGAATTCAGAGGATTTCTGGCGTTTTACTTCGATCTTTTTATAATTATTGTACGAAAACGACATGTGGTGTATGCCGTTTAGTACAATATCCAATATAATTCGACACAGCTGTCAATATAAAACGAACGTCGGCAACGTAAGTATTCAGAAAAATTTTGTTCACCACGTCGATTAAGTTCTTCGACGTTTTTCACTTCACCTTAAGGTAACATGAACGAGTCGGCCTATATATATCTGAGAAGTTAAATCGTTGGTAAAAGTATTCTCCGAATTGGGTGTACCGATTCATTTCAAATTTTACCACGTGAATATGGAGGCCCTAAAATAGGTCCTAAAATTCACGAAATTTAATTTTTTATCAAAAATTCATTAATTCTTATAGGCTAGAACCAACATCGCATGGTCCGTGCACGTTTTCGATGTTTTACACTTCTTGGAGGCTTAGAATCGAAAATAAAGAGTTTCAGGACCTAGCTCGAAGAATTTAGAATACTGTAGAAGTGGAATATTACATAGTCAGATGGGAAAATATGGAAAATACTATCACCAACGATTGCAAGAGAATACTGGCTTGTCTCAGGGCTAACACGTGTTTTTCGAGCAAAAATTTAGTTGCAGCTAAACGTTACAGATGGCGACGTTGGTCCTAAACAGTCGTTAGAATAATGAATTCACGGGATTTCGACAGTTTTACGTAGATCTCTTCATCATTAATTTATCGAAATGATATATGGAAGCTTCAATTCGTATAATTATTAACATAAACTGTAAATGACTTCAACATTAATATAAATATCGGTAACGGGACGCGCCAGCTTATAGTATCTCTTGGGTATTCAAAATGACGTTGCCGCCAAAAAGGGTACACATGAATTTGAATGAATCCACCTTGATTAAATTTCTCAGCGCCTTCCTATCATCTTAAGCGATTAAACCCTATAATTGGCACATCATCGTCCGACGAAGAATAACTTGGTCTCGTTGGTTTTCAGCTGGTCCTGAACTCGATGCACAAGTATCAGCCGCGCATCCATCTGGTTAAGAGGCCAGACACCGGAGCCAGCGATCCAATAGAGGACCTGGAGCAGGAGCCGCACAAGACCTTCATATTCCCCGAGTCGGTCTTCACGGCCGTCACCGCGTATCAGAATCAGCTCGTAAGTCTCATTTCGTATTTAGCTACCGTTACCCCTCCTCGTCCTCGACCTCCACCGAGGCCCTTTCTGGCCCTTCTCGTTCCTCGTCCGCTCCCGATGACGTCCGGCCAGAACTGGTTCTCGACCTCTTCCTTCTCCGTCTCGTTTCACCGCCTCCGGACCCATTCCTCTTCTTTCCACGGTGTGAAATGGTATTTCGGACCTGGAGGTGAAATCGATTCGTTAAATCGTCGCCACGGCCTCCTAGAAATTCATTAACACATTCCTCCGCGTGGTCAGGCAAGGTATGCAACGACTCGAGGTGGCTCGACAAAAACGATTACTTATGTTAAATTGTCACCACATTAATTTGTTACGGGCCCGCTGAACGCTTCCACCGGGTCCCGCTGGTTTCGCCTCGGTCGCAGTCTTTTTTCTTTTTCCCGGTCCCGCAAGCGGATCGTTCATTTGTAATCGCGTCGCCTCTTGGTTCTTTTTCGGAGCTCGTGGTACCTTGGGACTCAATGTTGCCGGAAAAACGTAGAGTATCGTGATGAATTATTTGCTCCTGTTAGTAGGGCGAACGTGATTAATCGTAGGCGTAACCCGGGATAATGATTTGTTGAAATAGCGGAAGCTTTGGTTGGCACGGTGCCCGCGTAATATTTCAATACCTCAGCGGGAATTTGTTTGGATGATTAGGAAGGCGCTGTGAACCGCGCGTATCAGAGGAATATGCTCATTAGATCGATAAACAACGGTGTTTGTCGAATATCATTTTTTGGCACCTGGTCAAGTTGCCTCCCCTCATTAATATTACATACAACTAGGAATGCACGAATCTCGAAACAGTCGTTACAAATGTCAGAGAAACTTTCAATACTTTCCATAAATGTAAACATCAACTGCTCACAGTTGGATTGAATCCGAATGGCGAAACTGAATTTTTATGGCCAGGCGTTTATTTTATATCTACACCCTGAGTGCAAAAATAATTACAACATTCCCCCCAACGCTCCTTATCTTACAATACCTAATCGTGTATTAAAGTTGCAAAGGGGGTCAGATTGACCTTGCAATACGAGTCGCAGGCTCGAAGACGAGTATCGCAAACACGCGAGATCTAAAAAACTTTGCCCCCGTGGTACACGCGGTACTTTATGTAACAAAAGCATGGACTACGCGTCTTTTTGTGCCTGCGCGAGTACAAGTGTCGGCACTTTTTCGTTCTAGGACATTGCGAGGCTCTTTTCCGTCCTGCCCTCACTTCCCGCAGAATGTCCGTTTATGTGCACCGTCGCAGAAAAGTCAGCTTTAGGTGCCGAAGACGTTAAATAAAATGATTTAAACCTTATCTTATTAAGACAACATTATAATTGGACCAGGGAGCACAGAGATATCCATTTTCCCCCAAGGTTCAACCGCCATCCGAAATAGGTACCCAATCGCGGAATGCCGCATCCGCGCTTTGCCTCCGATGCGTAAATCACTCCTAATCTCCCTCGATGCCGAAGTCGAATCCGATCGGCCGCCTGAAATTCCCTCGTCTAGACGACCTCCGAGCCAGAGGTGCGGGGAAGCCTCGCGTTTGACCGAGGTCGGCGCGAAAGGAAACCCTTTGATCCTCCGGCTCGACGCCGCGGCGAGGAACTCGGCGAAAACGGGGACCCGGTCGCGAGGGGTGTCCGGGGGGTGGCGGGCGCGTTATCATATTTCACGATAGTCGTTTAGAGGAGCGGCGGCATGTGTGGTCCAGGTCGGCGACGTCGCATTCCCGGGGCGTCGCGGCGCTCGGCGTCCGCCCTCTCGAGCCCCGCGCCTCCTAACGATCGGGTCGCGGGGGGTCGCGAGGGGGTCGCGAGTATGCGCGGAATCTAGCTCAGGGTATCTGTGATCTTCGGAGGCGACAATAGACGAATGGAGGTGCGCGGCGCATGCCGGGCCTTCCGTCTTCGTCCGATCCCTCTCGGCTTTGGTCCTCCCTTTCTTCGAGTCCCTCGGTGTTTCCCACCTTCCGAAGGGGGGAGCCAGGAACGTAATGTACGCGCCTCGAGTACTCAAAGCGAACGGGTGGTCCGGGTCCTACCCTCGTTGGGACGACGACAGCGGCCGAGCTGTTGATGATGATGATGAGGTGCGAAGAGATGCCCTGGCAATTACCTCGGGACAGTTCTCCTTCCGTATCTTCGCCACTTCGGCGTCTCGTTCTCGCTTTGCACCCCCCTCGCTTTGAGCGTCTCTCTCTCCCTCCTTTTCTCGAGTCCTCGTTACCGTTCTTGCGCGGCCCGAGACCAGAGGGGGCGAGAGGTGGACGCGTCAAACTCGAAGGCGAGAGCGGCGACCGGCTCGCGTTCGGCAACGTTCGACGAGCGAGCGGCTCTCGACGGCTTTTCAACCGGCCACCGAAATAGCCCAGGAGAAAAGGAACCGAGAGGAAGCTCGGCTTCCAGGCCCTCTTCGTCGGCGGCCGAGCTCCCACCCTGTTGTGTATCCGTCGGGTCTGGAGAACGCGAACCCGATGAGCGATGTCGTGGTATGCGTCGAAGGGGCGCGGAAAAGGGATCGGCGAGTGGCGTGCTTATACGGTGTACCCGAGGTAAGCGGATAGCGAACAACAGGGTTTCCCGTGGGTCGAATTATCTTCCAAATCTCACATTTCCGGAAATAATTGCGAGAAGTCCGACTGGTAAGGCCAAACGGGACCGGCCACGTTTGAAACTACAATACGAAAGATCGATTTTAAAAGACGAGTAAAGGTCGATTCCGTGCCGTGTACGTGTACGTCCGTAAAGGGTGTTTGCACTTTTCCCTAATCTGCGTCCCGTGCCGTGATGTAGCCATTGGTTCGGGACGTCTGCGGACGTCAAACTAGCGCGAATGTGGAATACTACTGATTTCCAGCCGCAACGCGTCGACAGGACGTCCGGATGCCGGTCAGATGTGTCAGTGCCGGCATCGGACCGTACCGCTCGGTCAAGGAAAACGTTGGATCGAATCACTGGCTGGAGCACTGGCCCTGACCCGATCTTACGGACGAACGGATATGGATACATATGAATACCCCGATATACATCTAAGATGACATTTCCATCAGTGCCCCGCCCGGATACGGTACGGGTACCTATGTCCGAATCGCCCTTACATCTCGGCGATGTTTAATTTGATTCCTTCCCTGTAAAGATTTCTTAAAATTCACCTAAAACCATAAAATACTACCGGGAGGCATGTGGTACACAAAGTTCTTCGTAAGCGCAGCCCTAGGATATCCACGGATGCCGACCCCCGTTTCCACACTATAAGTCAAGAGTCATATTTTAACCCATTGAGCGCTATGGACCCATAGGTGCGTCCGACGATTGGTCCACTATTGCTTGCACGCCCTGATGAAATTCGCCCATACGTCAAGAGGGCTGAACGCTCTAAAGGGTTAGGGTGATACGAAAGGGTCATTCTATATATATATAAAACGTTAAAATATTTGTAAGACTCCTCTCCAAATTGGGTGCACCGAATCATTTGAAACTTCGGTGCGTAATTATGAAGGCTCTAAGGAAGAACGCGATGCTCGTGAAGTTTCATTTGAAGTTTCATTTTCACATGCTGAAGTTTCAAATTCTTCGATACTCCCAATTTGGAGGAAAGTTTTATTAATATTTTGACGTTTCTTGTTTATGGAATTACCCTCTCGTATCACCTTAAAGCCGCTCGAGTTAACCGATCCAACGTGTCTCCTGGTTAACCGAGGGCGACCAGCCAGGAAGTAGTTTTTCGAGGCAGTCGGCCGAGTTCCCGGGGAAACGTCGAATCCTCCTCTCCGTGTAGTGTCGAGGTGCCGGTCGGCTTCGCACTTGGCCGCCTTCTAAAACCGCAGAGTGGATGCTCGTTTAGCGTGATTTTTTGCGCCGACTTCCCGTGAGCCGGCGCGCTACGTAAGTATCGTTGCAGTCAGTTTTTGCCTCCTCCTCGGCCGACTCGGCTCTCGTAACGACCTTACGACCGACTCGATCCGTCTTTCTCGCTCGCACCACGTCATAATTCATAACTTAACTGCTCTCTCTTCCCCCTAACCACCGCCGGCGTCCCGGCAGCGCCGACGCCGCGACCATCGCCGTTCTCCGTCCTCTTCCTCCCTGGCCATCCACGAGATTGGCTTATCTATCGCGTTACGCCTCTCTCCTTCTGCCCCTCGGGCGCCGCTACACCTTTCTTCTCGGGGAGACGGAATGGGACGGAAAAGGAGCGTGCTCTGGCCTTCGAGGCCGAACTCGTCCGGACCGACGCGACGTGTCGACTTCGTTCCACTTCCTGCGGGATTTAAATTCGTTATCTCGTATCTATCTCGGTAAGTTTTCGTCTCTGGCTGGCCTTTTCGCCTACTCTGGGCGAGATGGGTCCTTGAGGGTTGTCTCGGTGGCAGGAGATTCCCGAATAATGGGATTCACTCTGACTTCAGTGAATTTATTATCGGGCGCTACAATTTTCTTTTTTACGGGCAGATGTGACGTTTACTTGCTCGTGTTGTTAACGGAGGTTGTAAATGCTAACCATTAAAATGATGAAAGTTGATGCAGAAGAAAGTCGAGGGAAATATTGAGACCAGATATGATGTGATGTGACGCGTAATGTGTGCATCATTCGCTGACGTGCATGTTACTTTATATGAAATATCGTGTTACGTTAAATGTTGTCAAAGAGGATTTATCAGAGTCGAGATTTCTGTACTATTAACTGCAAACTATTAACAACCGTTCGGTTGTTCGTCCTTCGGCTAGATTTCTGCTTGGAAGTGCTCATATCCGTCCAGAGTGACGTCCATTTTTCGTCCGTCCACTTAGTATTTTCAGAAACTCCGAAAAGGATCGGTCCGACGTTTTTTGGAAGTTAGAAAGCCACTAAGTGTTTCCACGTGTTGAGGAAAATCTTGGTTAACTGCGTTGCTGTAGGTCAAGAATGCAGGCCGCTGTAGGAAAAGGGCCATCTTTTGTCGCTGTCGTTAGTTGTATCGTTATCCATCGAAAGCT